GAGGGGGCCAATCCCCCCTTAGGGGGGGAAGTATCCCGGTTGGGGTTTGGGGGCACCCTCCCATAAAAGGAGGGAAATTTTTGAGGGCCGGGTCAGAATTGGGGGGACTCCCCCCCTTTTTTTTCCTTTTGGGGTTTTGGGACAGCAGGGTTTTTTTTTTTTTTTTTTTTTAGGGGGGGCCCGGGGTGGATCCTTTTCGCCCAAAGACCCAGGGTTTCCCCCCCCCCCCCCCCCCCCCAAGGTTCCCTCCCCCAAAACCCTAAAATTTGGGGGCCCTTTTTACGCCCGTTATTTTGGTCCCTTTTTCCCCCGGCCCCCCCCCCCCCGTTTTGGGGTATTATTGTGGGGGGCCCCCCCCCCCCCCCCCCCCCCCCCTCACTCTCGCGCCGTCGACGCGTGGTCATCCGTCGCAGGCCGATCTTGATCCCCTTTATGCTGGTCGCGGCGAACTCTTTCTTTCCCGGGGGACCCCTGCTTGGGGAGAGGACGCTGGTGTTGGGCTTCACCGTCTTGACCTTCATCTATGAGTGAGTCAAGCAAACAAGCAACCCTATCTGTGCGATGAAGTTCGAAACTGGAGGTGTAGGTGTAACGTGTCGAGCATGCCTGAACAACGTGCCTCTCTTGCCTCTCGAGGATGAGCCTGTTGTGTATGTGTGTGCGTGAGCCAAAGCTTGAGAGATCCCGGCGTTTTTCAACAGTACGGTGCTGCAGCACACGAGTAGCGCTCAAAACAAACAAGGTTATCTGCCGCCGGAATGATGACCACACATCGGGTAATTCCTGACCGAACAAGAGCAGGAGGTATCGGGCCTACAAAACAGGCGCAGCGCGTGCAATTCGCACGACCGAATATCCTACTTGAGTTGGTAGATGCATATACAAGGTTGTGGGCGCTGCGCGCCCCCGCTTTATTTGAAGCGATTCCAAGGCAATGTTTTCCCTGAAAGTGGGTGTAGATGTTGTTAAAATGAAGGTAGGCACCGATGGCAGTTAAAGTTTCCGTGAAGGTGGAGTTCCCATGATGGAGGTTCGTGTGTGATTTAAGGAGATGTAAAGGTCCATTATTTGTTTCCCATCGCCGTGCCCAGTACCCCTCCATTATCTGATACACATCCAGAACTCAGAACTGCAAAAAATAGACAAAATTGTCGGCTGAACTGCGAATGAAGAAAGACAGCACTACCAATTGAACGCACTACTTGAACTGCAAAAAATGAATAAGGACAGCACGAAGAATTGGACCCCCTACTTGACTTCTGAACAAATGAAGTCATAGAGTAGCTACAGAGGAGTGGGAGGAGTGGGCCGGGGTAGCCATCGAGAGTGGAGGTAGAACGGTTTTCGTAATTTCCGGACCTTTAGAAGGGATTATCGGAACCGGAGCACACAACACCGTTGCGGGAATCGGAACAAACAACAGACCATTCCGACGGGA